GCTACATCATTTTCATCGGAAAGAGACAAGGCATGCAACTAGCTAATTAAAAGACACCGGAGCCTTTACAGTTCCCAAATAATCAACATTTTCTGACTATTTTGACCAGTTTTTGAGCGGTCGCAATCTTCATCGGACGATATCTTCCTTATTTTCGAACCACAACCTTCATATTCGATTTTGGGCAGCTTCTTAGGTCGGAAACAATCCAATAAGGGCCAAAAACACGATTACAAAATTTTGATTTTTGCCAACACCAGCCGGAAGGAGTTTTTATAACTCTTTGTATGTGGTTTCAGATTTGGAGGGAGTACGATACGGATGGAAGCGGATACATCGAGGCAGACGAATTAAAGGTAATTGATGGGATTTGTTCACCTAGACTTTGGAGTAAAACCGCTCCAATATGAAACTGCTATCTTTGTTCAAACATTTTGCGAACTTTCCCAGGCATCGTTAACTAAACGCTTAAAAGCACCGATAAAAACTTTCCTGGCTGACTGACTGAATCCCTTGTCATCTCTTGTGTAAGCAGCTTAAACACGTTTTTTATGCTAGTTATTTTTCAGAACTTCCTCCGCGATCTGCTGAAGGAGGCGAAGAAAATAAATGACGTCTCCGAGGACAAACTCATTGAATACACAGACACGATGGTTTGTAGCTAAACTTTTCTTGCCTGATTACGATAGTACAGTAAACTCTGTAGATTTTCCTTTGAATAGGGGAAACTTATTAATTTAATTTTCAGCTACAAGTTTTTGACGCTAATAAGGATGGGCGCCTGCAGCTTTCGGAGATGGCAAAGTAAGCCTCCTGTTCCTATTCGATTAAAGATGAAAAGCACTTCCAACCGCTTTTATTGCTTTGTTCTAGATTACTTCCAGTCAAAGAGAATTTCCTATGCAGACAAGTGTTCAAGGTAAATCACTTTTCTTTTACATTCCATTTCCACTCTTTTATTAATATAGTTTATGGAAAAAAATTGAGATTTATGCTAGCTGTAGTTTTTCAGTCTTTCACATTATACACAGTATGACAAGGCAAAATACCTGTTTTATTTATGAACTATTAAAAGTGAATCTATCTGCATTAATGAAATAAAAGCAAAAAATATTAAGAACATTCTACTGGACATTTCGCGGTTTTCTTTTCGAACATTTGTTTAATTTTCCTCGTAATCTTTCTTGAATTAAATTTACGTATGTTCGATCAAAACCTAAACAATTTTCGATTTATTAGGTACAAATTACACCAAATGACTACCTCCTGTTTGGCTGTATCTATCTTCTATCTGCACTAAAAGCACTGTTAAGTTCAATATCTATAGTAAAAGTTGATTTTTCTTCAGCTGGGCCTATACGATTGCAAATATTTTTTTAAACTGTGTTCTTAAATTTGCAATTCTATTGACCTGCAAATTTAAACAATCCTATTTAAAGCTAGTATCTAACCTAGCTGCACGGCTTTATCTGTCTGTCTGTGTGCCGATACTTTTAGGAAGGAATTGAAGTAAGTAACAAGTGATTTTCACGAAAAGAAAATATTGGCCTCAAGACTGAAAGAATTACTTAAATGCATGCAGGCTAATATGTTCTTTTTGCGTTAAATGTTAGAGAGTCATCAAGAGATGCCGTGAATGTGTTTCATCAAGGATCGATTTTCAAAGATTTTGAGTGCAAAATGATTAAAAAATAGTGGGGAAATGATCAACAACTTAAAGAAGTTTGATACTAAATTCATTGAAAATCCATCCATAAAAAACCGCGTTTATTGCTGCTACTTCTTCTGCACCGCACTGCATGATAGTTTAAGTATCCAAAAAAAAATAATTAACTCAAAGTCATTTTGATAACGACGATAGTTTGGTCCCGATGCTTTGCAAGCACGAGTGACTTGCATCTTCATCACATTAGTCAATATCGCATAAAAAGTGTTCTTTTCCAACGCAATTTGCTAGAGGAATGTGAGTTATTTGCAGGAAATTACGTAAGTTTCCTTTGCAATGCTCTTGTTCCAAGCAATTTCGGTGCCAAACGAGCAAAACAAATATGCAATTAATTCCAGCAGCCGAGTTTCGAATCTAACATCATTCCTAAGTGCTCTTGAAGTTTAAAACCATTAAAAATCTGTGACCCTTCAGTAAAACCTGTTCAATAGAGCGCTTTGGGAACGTCCTGTTTTGCCCCCAGAACTTTTTATCCGCACGCCACTGGCGGATTAGAAAACACGAACGTGAAGTTCAGCTAATGAGTTTCCCTTCAAAACGTTCACTTTTTAGTGCCAATTTCACGCCACTTTGTTCAATTGATCACAGGAAACTTCAAGTTTAAATTGGCTTTCGATGGTTTTCCCGCTTCGAACATCAACTTTAATTCGGATAATTTTTTTTTCTTACTTTTCCTGCTTAGGGCGCCACGAAGTTAACCAAAGACGACATTGAGAGAGTGTTTGCATTATATGATCGAGTAAGTAAAACCTGCAATTTAACGGCCGTTTCAAGCAATAAAAAAAATTGCAGGACAATAACGGGACAATAGAGAATGAAGAGCTCAGAGGGTTCCTGAAGGACTTGTTGGAATTGGTTAAAAAGGTTTGCTCCCGAAAGGCTTTCGAATCGGACCCAGAACTGCTGGTTTTTTGTGGATTTTAGGACTACGATGCTCAAGATTTGCGGGACTTTGAGGAAACCATCCTCAGAGGCGTGGATTACAATCAAGATGGCAAAATCAACAAGAAAGAACTGACGATGATCCTGCTAGCCATTGCAAAGCACAATCAAGAGGAGGAACCTGCCGCATAAGTTGGTTTTGCCGACATACGAAAAACTAGTTTTAAGATTTTAAAGTTGCCAATTTATCGACGTTAAACTAGCACAAATTTTTAAAACCAATCAGTGTCAAACTGCATATATAGACGGATTTAAGCGACCATGAAGCCCAGATGTATACGTTGAACTGCATGTATGATACACAAGACTTGAGTATTTTGCCATCACCTAAAAGTATTTGAAATATATCAACATACGGATGTTGATTCTTTGACATATCTGGTAATTCAGGACTCTTCTCGGCTTAGTTTTTAAGTTTTTTACCCGGAATCTCAAAGGGGCTTCATGAGGCTCGCATGTAAGCAGATCACTAATGTTAGACTTTAAACACCACTTTGAAACACCAATTTCAAGAAATTATCGTAAGACTATTCAATAGCATGTAGCCTAAAGTAATTGTCAGAAAACCTGTTAGATCGCAACCTTCATTTGCTCGTTTCCAGCGTTTTCCGGTGAAGAGTTGCCGATCGCTTCAAAGCACTTTTAGCCTCTCTGTTGGGAATTTCTACTAAAACCAATGCTAAGATTATCACGTTCCTTGCAACAATCTATCATGCTAAAGTGTAATGTACTCTTAATATAAGATAGCTTCTCCTGTTGCTACTCTATATCATTCTACAAGACTTCTTCATAACTACGTTATAAGGTTTAAAGGATCTATTTTTCACTATCTCTATGGTTAATAGTTGTTTTGTACTTAGTTGTAAATTTAAATTACATTTAGTATCGTTTCGAAAGGTTACTCAATGTAAATAATAGTTGACTTTCACATCGTTGCTGTTTCATTTGGAATTGTATGTATAGTAGTAAATAAAGTGGCGTAGAAACAAAAGCCGAAAGCGCTTCCAATTCAAATCAATGGATTTATCGGAAATATGCTGAAAAACCGGAACTGGCTTTAAAGAAGAAGTAGTTTAAAATTGTACAAAGACAATCAAACATCTGATGAGGTGAATGGAAGCGAATTGGCTTGGGAGTGAAACATGCAAGCGCTGCGCCACATTGATCAGCTTTCTTCACTTTGTCAAGTAAATATGGAAATATTTGCCTTTTCATGTAACCCAGTGAGAACCTGTAGAGTTTCTCAGATCGCCCATTCATATGCAAACCGAAGGGTTTTCAATACACAACACTAAACTCAAATTATATCAGAATATTCCAAACTTTTCCTGATGGCATCTGAGTAAACATCTGCAGTCCACTCAGCTCCTTGTTCTAGTCTTCAATAAATATGAGTGAAAAACTCGCTAGAATTATAAGCAAGATGTCCATATAGTATACACGTTAGCCTATACAGTGTAAAGAAAATATCGTTACTGTTTGCTAAGTTGATTTTATATAGTTTATTCATTTTCCATATTTAGCATACAGTTTTGCTGCGAAATAAAGCGATGTAATTTCAAAAGACACGTTTTTCCATTTTTCAACGCTGGTTTTTGGTAACTCAACAAAAAAGACTGCGTTTTTGTTTGCCGAGATTTATTGAATACACACGCATATACAGACAGAGATCACTACGAATAATATGAATAAGTTCAGGAACAAGAACTAAAAAGCCTGCAAGTTAATGGAAGAATGAAGAAAGCGCTTCTAGTTTGATTTGCTGGCTCCAAAGCAGATGGCCTTGTCCACCTTATGGCCACATCGATTGCAAATCTCTTTTCTAACCGCCAAATCGTCGATAGTTAAATTTGTTTGATGATCCACCGATTTGGATCGGTGATGGCGAACTGGAGGCACATCAAGATTGTCTTTTAACGACGACTGAGATCCACTGGTTACATCATTATCTGCATCAAAACCAATGGAAAACTGTCCTTAGATTTAGCTCAAACCTTACCAGAAATGCTACTGCTTTTCTCCTCAGGTTCAAGCGAATCCTCCACTACGGGCAAGCTGCAGTGTTCCGCTTTTAGCGTTGGTGAAATATCGATTCCATGGAAAAGGTCCAGGCGCGAATCCAAGGAAAACTGCTTGCCAGACATTAGAATGCCCTTAATTCTTCGCCGCATTGCTAAAGAATGAATAAAGCAATGGAAAATGTTTTTTGGCAATAATATCTCATCCACCTGGACTATCTTGCGCATCTTTTCGCAACTTGATAGTTTTCGTGAACTGTTCCAAGACATCGCTTTGATCGTAAATTGCCGCGAATGAAGCATTCACTATTTTCGGCGACATTGGAACATTGGATAAAAGCAAGCTGGAGCCGAAGTTTTCATTTCTGTCCCTGGTCTCTAAAAATCCGAAAATTTCCATTAATGGTCAGCAAATCAAATGTTGCGGAAAAACAAGCAAAGCCACCACCAAGAAGAAGTAAATGCCGGCTTACCTGCAAGCAAACAGTTTAAAAATGCTCATCAAAAGTAGAATTAAACAGCGGATTGTTTGCTCACAAACTCAAGCCTTTACCACTTGGGTGCGAAGAGATTTCGAATTTGAACTCAGTGAAATAAGAAGCAATTTTTCAGCAAAAATACATTAATGACTCGTCTGCAAAACTGAAAAATTTGCTTATTTAAACGAGTGTTTATGCTTAATATTATATTTTTTACGGCATGGCTGAGCCATTTAGAAGGTATTTGCATTTTGAGTCGATTAAAAGATTGAGATTAACAGCATTGGAGCGTCTCAGTCCTTTGATCCCTTGATTGGTGGGTTTAGGATCTTTTGCTAAATAAAAATATTTCTATATAAACAAAGCTTTGAAGTTAACATGGCGATTCTGTTACCTCCCAGAGGCACCTTAGCTCTTGTAAGATATTTCTCGCGCTCCTGCAGTATTTCGTTGGCCACTGTTACAATTTCCTTCCAATCGACCACAATGTCTTCCAAAGTGGTTCTCGGCGATGTTACGGTGAACCGAATAACGTATTTGCCTTTCAGGTTGGCAGGAACACAGTGGATGTTCCCTCGCGAATTTAGCCTGAAAAGGTGGCCATACGCCCAAAAAATTTACAAAGTTTGCCCATTTCGACGCCCACCTTTTGCATAAAGTTTCCGTGATAAAATTATCCCCAACCAATCGAAACACCACCAATCCCAGATAGCGTTTAGCAGGAATTTCGAACCGGGGATCGTTCCTGACAAACGACTCAAATTTTTCTGCTAAAAAAACGCCTTTCCGGATGTGCTCCTGCAGTCCGGTAATTCCATAATTGCGGATCACAAACCAAAGCTTCAAGGATCTGAATCGTTTGCTTAGAGGAATTTGCCAGTGCTTAAAGTGGGATGATTGGAAAAACATCGGAAAATAGTCCAACTTTCACTTACCATGTAGTCAATGGCCAGACCTGAAGCACATTTGCAATCAATCAAAATAAATTAATTTATGGCAACGACTAAGATTACCTGAATATTCGTGGGTGAGGTACAGGGGGTTTACGTTAAAAGCCCCATGAAGAGCGCTGCTGTTTTTAACCCTGTAATTTTTTTAGATCCCTATAGAAACCCCCAACGTTCGTTTTCCTACTCACCACATGGCGGTGCAATCGAAGTGAACCATCAGCCACTTGGAAGGGTTGAATGCTATGGAATTGGCTTTTTCGATCCCTTTTAGCCAGACTCGATATTCTGGGCATATAAAGGCTGAGCCTGCATAAGCAGCATCTACATGGCACCAAAGTAGTTCGTTGTAGCAAACTTCTGAAATCTCGGCCAGTTTATCAAAGGCGCACGATCCAGTTGTACCCAAAGTAGCGCAAACCTAAAGCAAATTTAAAATATCCGCAATTGATAACATTGAACATACTTTCCTGACTGTGTTTCAATTCCAAATCAAAATCAATTCCTGGGCTTCAGTCATTTATTGTCTATTTATCAATTAAAATACGTTTCGGTGTTTTCCACCATCATCAGTTTCTATGTGTAGCGTTGTTGCTACTTTAAGCCTTGGCATGCATTTTCTTGCTCGGCAAAAAATGCATGCCAAGGCTTAAAG